CTAGTTTCATCCCTCGCACGGCGGCGGAGATCAAGTCTCTAACCATTTCCGACGACTCTAGGCCGATGATTCTCTTCGAAAAGTTCGGATTCACTCAGACCGGTCACGTTAGCGTCTCCGTTTCATCTGTATCAGTAACGCCCTCTTCGTCTGTTCCGAACCCAGATCCGGCGAGGCTAGGGTTCTTTCTTATGTCGGAGGAATCGCTTCTCCAGGTACTCCTTGAGATTCAGCAAAACCCTATCTTCTGTGTACTCGATTCACCTTACGTCCTCCATCTCTTCACATTCCACGAACTCTCAGCTTCCAAGTACGAGCACTTGTACCCGGTGACTTCTCCGAACGAGTACTCTCTCTTCTTCGTGAATTGCGTACCGGAATCCAGAGTTTCGATGAAGGTCCGGACCGAGATGTACAATCTAGATCCGAACGGGTCGAAGGACTACCTCCCTGCCGGATCGACCCGATTACCGGGATTGTATCTCATCTTCTTCCTCGGCTACTTAGCCTTCCTCGGTGTATGGGGCTATGCTTGCTGGGTCAATAAACGAGTCGTTCATAGGATCCATGTTCTCATGGCTGCTCTGCTCTTGATGAAGGCTCTGAATCTGATCTGTGCCGCAGAGGACAAGCACTACGTGAAAGTCACCGGCACTCCTCACGGTTGGGACGTTTTGTTCTACATTTTCCAGTTTATCCGCGTCGTTCTTCTCTTCACGGTGATCGTTTTGATCGGAACTGGCTGGTCCTTCTTGAAGCCGTTCTTACAAGAGAAAGAGAAGAACGTGTTGATGATCGTTGTCCCACTTCAGGTTCTTGCAAACATAGCTTCCATTGTGATTGGAGAGACTGGACCTTTTATCAAAGATTGGGTAACTTGGAATCAGATATTCTTGCTTGTAGATATAGTATGTTGTTGTGCAATCCTATTCCCCATTGTCTGGTCGATTCGTTCACTGAGAGAGACCTCGAAAACCGATGGAAAAGCTGCTAGGAACTTGGCAAAATTGACTCTGTTTAGGCAATTCTACATTGTTGTCATCGGGTACTTATACTTCACGAGGATTGTAGTGTTTGCGCTAAAGACAATCGCGGCTTATAAGTTTCGTTGGGTGAGCAATGCAGCTGAGGAGATTGCGAGTTTGGCGTTTTACATGTTGATATTCTATATGTTTAGGCCTGTTGAGAAGAATGAGTATTTCGTTATAGATGATGAAGAAGAAGAAGCTGCAGAGCTGGCCTTGAAGGAAGATGATTTTGAACTCTGAAACAGATCAGGGACTTTCATTGACTATATAAGCTGAGAGGAGGTTTGCTTTTTCTTTTTGTTTGTTACTTGACAGGTAGTTTACTTGCAAAGAGAATAACTGTGTACTTGTGTAGTGCTCTCTTATATGGTAAAGCTTTCTTGTCCTAAGACTTATTTGTTAGTAAGAAGAAGATCGGTGCCTCTGCTGTTTGGTACATGTGTTTTCACTTTGCTGAATTTGCTTTACCCGACTTTCTAGTTCGATATTAAGTTATGTTGATTACATTAAGAGTCTAATTGGTCTCTCTGAATATTTTGGTTTGCTCACTGGTTGCATGCGGATACTTGTCTTTCTCGAACCGTTTGAACTGTTATAGTATAGATAAATGTTTCTATCGTATCGAAACTTAGGGGTAAGATCCGAGCCGATGTCGTACTCGGTTTGTAAAACCGTGTGGGCACAGAGTCTTCAGATAAAAAAATGCCACACATCATTACAGGTAAACTTCTCGGCACTATGATACGTATCATCGGAGGTGACCCGTCGCGTGTGATTTCTTTCCTGCTCTTGCTTCTGGTCTAATAGGAGCTCAAGAATCCATTAGTTGGTTCAAGAATCCATTAGTTGGTTCAATGTTCCAATACGATCTCAAAAGATACATACTACAAGACATAGCTACAAAAGAATCTTTAAAGTAAGCTTAAATAACAGAACTTCTATTTGATTAGTCTCTTTTCTCGTAGCAAAACTTCCACGGCTCGTCTCCCAGAGACCAAAGCCCCATCAAACGTAGCAGAAGTCATGTAATCACCGCTCAAGTAAAGACCTGAGCCGATCCGAGGACTCTTAACCAAATCAGTGGGCGGACATTGGTTCGGTTGAGCGAACGGTATCCGGTAAGTTTCCAAATGTTTCCATGACATAACCAAAGACTCACCGAACCAGCCCGATAGCTCCCGGATAACCTCAGCTGCTAAATCATCATCGGATCTATCCTCGAACAGACCGATCAATGAAACCGAAACCAGAGCCTTTCCCGGCGGTGCGTATGTCCGAGCAACGTTTGTAGCGAAGAACATGTTGTTGATAATACCGGTATTTGACCCGTTGAGAAATAGAACCGGATCTTGTACAGGTATCTGGTTCGGTTCAGCTGTGAAGTAAAAGCAAATCGTGCTCCGAGCCGGTTTAATCAGAACCGGTTCTCTGATCCCAACAAGAAGCTTATCTACTTCGGGTTGCTCAACGGCGACTATGACACCTAGCTCTGCCTTCAACACGCCGCCGTCTTGGAGTCTCACGGTAGGTGGATCCGAATCCGACCCGTTTGGATACTCGATCGAAGCGACCCTTGTGTTCAACAAGACGGAATTAGCGGGTAATTTCGCGGCCAATTGGTTAGGGATTTCTCCGATACCCATTGCCGGAAGCGTGTTTTCTCCGAGAGCAAGACACCGGAAAATGAAATCGAAGAGCTTAGACGTCGTCTCGAGGTCTCTGTCGAAGAAAATTCCGCCGAAGAATGGCCGGAAAAACCGATCAAGGATCTCGTCGGAGAAACCGATCTTCCGGAGGAGATCAATGGTCGGCACTTCGTCGGCGGCATTCAATATCTCTTCGTTTGATTTGATCAGAACTCTAGCCCTCGTCAACGCGATAAGCCCTTTGTCCACGACGGATCCGATCGGATTAGTGAGTGACGCTACCGAATCCCATAAATGTCGGAGAGGATCAGCTACGGTGTGAAATTCTCCGCCGTAGAAAACTTTAGCTCCGGCGTAGAATCTCTGTAAATCAAGCTTTTCGTAATCTAGAAGCTTCTTAGCTTCGAGATACGCAGTGATGAAAATCTGAAATCCTCTGTCGAGAAAGTAGCCGTCGATGATATCTGTACGGACACGGCCACCGACGCCGTCGGAAGCTTCTAAGAGTAGGAAAGGGATTCGTTCGGATGTGAGCCGAGTTGCGGCGGCTAAACCGGCGAGTCCGGCGCCGATGATGATGACGCCTGTTTGATTCTTTCGACGGTTTGGTTCTTCGGAGGAAGATCGAGCACCGGAAAAGCGTCGAGATTGGGGAATTGCATGGACGCGTCGGCGAGGGAAGAAATGAGAAGTGGATGAGGTTGGGAGAGAGATCGCCAATTGCATTTTAAAATTTTGGATAAGGTTTTTTCTGATTCGTTAACTTCTTTTTTTCCCCGGGAAAGCTGTTTTTTAAGAAAACAAAAAATATACAACTAATAAAAATATCATCAAAACTAACGAAAACAATTAGATATTCATCAAAAATTCAAAAATTGAGCTAACGTTTGTAAATTCCATTATTCATATTTGTATTTACTACTAAAATATAAGATGTTTTAGGATTTTTATTTTGTTTTATAATATAAGATTTTTTTTAATTTTTATGTAAAATTTAATGTGTTATGATCATTAATATTCTGTAGAATTTATTTTTATTAGTTGATTTATTTGTAATTAGATATTAAATAATAATTTTATTATAAAAAAAAACAAAAACTAATATTTATATCATTTATAAATTCCGCGCTTTTATCTAAAAAATTCTATATAATGTGCTAGTCTTGCAATTTTGCTGAAGTTTGGGGCTATTGGAAGCAAATTTCCCTTTATATTTTGAGGACTTTACTTTAAGCAAAATAATAATAACAAAAATTCCTCCATGAGACCATGATTATCCATGAGATTTCTATGGTCTCAACCAATAAAAAATTATTAAAAACACATTCTCTCTTCTTTTTATTCAACTTTATACCTTCTTTTTCATCATTTTTCTCAACTTTTATTAATTTTATATTTAAATACACCCCAACTAAAACAAACTTACTCTATAAAACTCTCCAAAGTCTCACCCTCATGAGATTCTCTCTCCAATTTTATCCACTATCTCATCTTTTTACTCAAATTTTATTAATTTTATAATTCAATACACTCCACTATTTCAACAAAAAACACTCTCTTTCTTCATTTTACTCTAATTTTAATAATTTTTTATTTATTAAGACCATAAAAATCTCATGAAATCTCATAGATAATCATTGGTCTGAGGATCATTTTCCTTGTTTCGTTTCATAAGTTTAATAAAGGAAGAAGTT